AAAAGTTTGTTTTATAGTTATCATATAAGTGTTTATTTTCATTTCTAATTTAATATTAAATATTTTTATTTATTGTTAATATTTTTATTATTATCAAAGGTTCCTCCACAAATTATACATCCAACTTGATGTCAATCGTTATTATGAATTTTTATCCCCACTTTTAACATCAGTTGGGAAATCGAATCAAAAAACATCTTATATCGAAAGTGTGATGAATAATCTAAAGAAGAAGTGTTTTTTTTTTTTACACCAATTATTGGAAGGTATCAAACATCATATTCATCTCTCTATTTATAAAATATTTGAATAATTATGTGATATTAATACAAACTAATATTTTGTAGCAATCATTGGATGCTTCCTATCATTTGTTCTCGTGAAAATACTATATATTGATTATGTTCATTACAATGGGAAGTAAGCGATGAAATGAAATCATTGTTTGAATCGTAAGTTTTTTGAATAATTATTTTGTGATATTATAGCATTTTTTAATATATTCTAATTCTGTATATTTGAAAAATAGATCCTTACATCGTTATTGGAGGATGAGAGATATAGTTGACAAAAAAAAATGAAATCAAGTGGGTGCATATACAAGTAAGTATTTAACCTTCTTTCCCAAATTAGAATAAAGATTGTAATATTGATTTGATAAATTAAATTGGTTTTAATTTTTTTTAACAGTGTGCTCAACAACTAAGAAGTGTAAAGTGTGATTATTACGTGATGATTTTTATGTATGAAATCATCACTCAAGGCATTACTCACTCATTTGAAAAGGTAATAATTTGTTAAAAATAATTTATATTTTACATTTTTACCCTACACTTGAATTAATATGCATGCACATTTTTATTAATATGCAACATTTTAACAATTTAGAGCTATTTTCCAAACAAGAACTGAGATATATATGGATATGTGGTCTACTTACTTTCTAGAATTAATAAGTTAGAGTAAATAGTTAGATAGATATTTGTATTGGATATATAGAAATTTTAATGAATATATTTGTAATTGTCTCTGGACCTGTTGTTTATGTATATATGCAAGCTTTTGTGATTAAGGGATTGAAAGAATACGGAATATGCATTCTTTTAAAAAAAAAGACACATACGGCAACAGTTGTGTATCGAACTGTAGTAAAATATATTTTTTTTTGCGACAATTGTGGTGATAACTGTCATTAAAGTGTATTTTTTGCGACAGTTCTAATTATAACTGTCGCGAAAAGTAGCCATAAATGATTGATTTGTTGGCTATTTTTCGCGACAAATGTTATTATAACTGTCGCAGAAAGTTGTAGTTACAACGATAGTTATTAATATAACTGTCGTGATAAGTTTAATACTTTTTTCAACAGTCCTTCTGAGACTGTCGCGAAAGGTGTTAACTTATAACTACACCCGTTTTCACTACATCGCTTTTTATGTTGTGAAAGGAAATTTTTAATTGTCGTGAAATATGCTTTTTGTACTAGTGTGGGCTGTGTGTTAGAAGTTTTGATAGAGAAACATTTTGGCGTTGGAATTGTTGATGAGCTTTTTGACGTTTTACAAAGACAATTATGGAATTCTAAAAATAATCATTAGAGTAAATTGCATGAACTTTTAATTCTTCTTAAGGGAAAGGTGCATGCATGAATAGATAAGTTCACATATTTCATGAATAGATCATAAGTTCACATATTTCATCTTGTGTAAGAAAATGCATTGGCTAAACTCTAATTCTCTCAATGGGAACAATAAGTTTACGTAGGGTTTGGATTGATATACTTGAATTTGAAATTTAGATAGAAAAAATTACATCTAAGTCCCATAAAACAGATTTAATTATTAAAAGATTACATAAAATGCACAGAATACTTCCAAATCATATCAAAGTTGGTTAAAAATCATTTATAATTGGGAAAAGGAATTGATTTTAAACTCATCCCCAAGTTGTAAATGCCTTTTTGCTCAGTAGTAAATATTTTTTATCGAGTTGTAAATGTACAAAATTTGATACTTGAGAGTATTTTGTGCATTTCATAAGATTTCTTAATAATTAAATCTATTCTGTGGACCTAGGTGTGATTTTTCCTTTTAGATTTGAAATCCTCTTCAAATCTCACATTTAAAACTCATATATTTAAAAATTTTTGTTTCTGTAATTTAAAACATTTTAAATGAAGAAGAGGGATGAACTTAAATTTTAAAAAAATAAAAATTAAAAATGATGAGTTTATTTTAATTTTCTAATCGACAGGAGATAATAAAATATACGAGGTCATAAAAATATCAATAATGAAATGCAAAGGGAATAAGATATTTGAATGAGTAAAATTTTAAATGATTAGGATGTAAAAAAAATTTAAAATTACAAAAAAAAATTATAATTTGAAAGGGAAAATTCATAAAGTTTTCTCTATCCAAATAAGAGATTTGGTTTAAATTCAAATATAGATCCAGATCCAAATTCCTTATTAATCCATCATATCATGAACAACAATATGTCCATAATCAACCATAACCCATGAAAATACTTAAAAAAATAAATTTATAATATATATATATATATATATATATATTTCATTTAGCATAATATTGATAACATATCAATATTAAAAACAATTGCTCAAAAAATTAAACCAATTAGGTTTTAAAATGACAAATTTTTTAAGCATGAATAAGTCATGTTCATACATTTATAAGCGATTGTTTGAATATAAACAACATGCCCATAATCAACCACAGTCCATGAAAATACTTGAAATAAATTTATAATATATACATATATGATTTAGCACAATATTGATAATCTATCAATATTAAAAGAACAAGTTGTAAAAAAAAAATTAAACAAGTTAGGTTTTAAAAATTGACAATTTTTTTATGTATGAATAAGTCATTATGAATAACAATATGTTTATGATCAACCACAATCCGTGAAAATGTTTAAAAAAATAAATTTATAATATATACATATATGATTTAGCATAATATTGATAACTTGCTGATATTGAAGAAACAAGTTATTAAAAAAACTAATAAGTTAGGTTTTAAAAATTGATAATTTTTTATGCACGAACAAGTTATATTCACATATTTACAATAATTATTTGAATATAAATAACAACATATTCATGATTAACAACAACTCATATTAATGCTTGAAAACAAAAACTATAGGGAGAATTTTAATTCAGTACATAAGTGGATTTAATTTTTTTTTGAAATTTTAATTCAGTCCAAAGAAGAAAAGACAAAAGAATTTTATCAATAAAAAGATTAAAATATTCTTCACTTGTTATGTAGAATTACAAGTTATTAATTTTCTTACTCCACTTATAAATTTAAGAATATGCGTTATAAATTACATAAATAGACATGTCAATAATTATATAAAGACTTAACATTAGTTTTTCAATTGTAAACAGTAACATCAATTATTAAATTGTAAATTTTAATTGCTAATTTATTAACATTAATTGTAAATTAATGATAGATTTTATAATTTACAAACATCAATTGTAAAATACTAATTTGTATTTTAAATTACTTATTTTTTTGTATTGTTGATTTAATATGTAACTCAATTATCTAACACTTTGATTGTATCCACACAATAAGAGAGTTCAAAGTAGTAACTGAGTAACAATCAAAACAAACAAAAGTTACAATCAAACATACATGATTTAATCAATTGAGCTAGGATTTTTTTTTGGGGGGGGGGGTTTATACTCGAGTAGCCTAAGCATATTTACATGAGAAGTCTTAATTAATTGCATCCACCATAATATTATGGTTTAGTGTGTACTTGACTGTGTCTCCTATAAATTTTTTGTTGTTTTATATAGATAATTTTTGCTCGATTATCTTTTTAAATCGTCCTTTTATGTAATTTTAATAGGGAAAATTTTTTCCCCTAATTAGTAATAAGCTTATAAGTTGCACGGTGGTGGAAAAGCCAGTTTATTCTAAATCGAAATGTTGATTTGTGAAAATTCGCATTCGTTCTTGTCAATTATAGAACCCGAACTTGTTAATTTTTTTAAGACAACCTGAATTTTATTTTAAAAAATGCAATCTGTTCCCCAGTCAAAGATTGTTCGTTAAATCAGGATATGTTGTTATCACTTGCATAACTTTATCTGTTAATTTTGAAACTAACATGGAGTTTTTAGTAAATGACAACCTGAAAGCAAATTACTCCAACATCTTGTTGTCAATATTTAAACATCTTAATTGTAAATTACAGAACAACATATTGCATTTGTATCCCAGATATTTTACATTTTTTTACTCTCTTTATTTAAAAATATAAAGCATTGTTAATTGAATTTTACTTCCTAATAAAATAGTTAATTATTTTTAAACTAACAATATTTTTTTATATTTATCTCTATTTAATAAAGTATTTTACTTTAAAATAACTATAAAATGATTTATTTATTAAAGATATTTTAAAAAAATATAATGATTATATTTTAAAACACTGAAAATATTTTATATTTTTAAAATTAAAATGTCATATATTTGTTAAAGAAAGGAGTAACATCAAAACAATTTTTAACATCCGTCATATAGGCCTGCAGGAAAAATTTTAGAATTATAAGTGCCAAAGTGTCATTTTCTTCTGCGTTTCAATGACATATCCTCCCTGTGAGATAATTTGTTCCTCGTTTGGTTTGTTGGAATTGGAAAAAATAAAAAGTGTAAGTGAAACTTCAAAATTTGTTTATTTGGTGTATAAGAACTTATTTCTCTAGGAAACCTAATTCTATCAAAAATCATAGAATGATCTCACTTCCTTCATATTCCCATTAAAGCTCAATTCCAACCCCCTTACTTTAATAAAATTTTTATAATTTTTATATCACTTTTATTATCATATCAAATACATTTACTATCTCACTTCCATTTTCACTTGTACCAAACACGGCGTGAAAGAGGAGTTGGTGGAAGCCGGCCAAAAAAAAAGAGTTGGTGGAAAGCTTCTAGAAAAACTAAGTAGTAAAAAAGAGTTGGCGCTTCCTCTCCAGAATTCGCTCACTGTGGTAGCTCTCATCTTGATTCTCAGAGATGGCGAAAGTGGGTAGGATCAAGCTCGGGTCACAAGGCTTGGAAGTCTCCGCCCAGGGTCTGGGGTGCATGGGCATGTCCGCTTTCTACGGGGCTCCGAAACCCGAACCCGACATGATCGCCCTCATCCACCACGCCGTCCAAACCGGTGTCACATTTCTCGACACTTCCGACATGTACGGCCCACACACCAACGAAATCCTTCTTGGAAAGGTACGATCGATACGAATTCCCTTTCCTTTTCTTGATTCTTCATGTTGTTCGCTCTGATTTGTGTTGCTCATTTGGTACGAATTCAATTTCTTGAGATAGGCATTGAAAGGAGGTGTGAGAGAGAAGGTTGAACTGGCCACCAAATTTGGAATCATCTTTGCGGACGGGAAGAAAGAGATCCGTGGCGATCCTGCATATGTGAGAGCGGCTTGTGAGGCGAGCTTGAAGAGACTGGACGTCGATTGTATTGATCTCTACTATCAGCACCGTGTTGATACTCGTGTGCCTATTGAAGTCACGGTTTGTTGGCCTTCTCTCTGCTTTGGGTTTTCTTCTCTTTCTATCACACCGTGATTTACAGTTTGCCATTTGGCATGTTTCACCTAAAGTCAGATTCAACCATGTGGTTTAGTAGACTTTCGAAAGCCATCTTTAGTCTTAGTGTCTTGCTAACAGTAACATCATTGAAAGCCTTTGAAACTTTTTTAATATACACAAATAAAATATACTTTTAACAGTAAACTAATTCATCATTTTAATTTTAATATATTTGTTTTGGTTACCTGTACGCGATTATTATAACCCTTGGGAGACAAACTGATTTTGTTATTTCAAATGTTATGCAATATAATATAATTTAAATATATTATTCAGAAAAACCTGGATGTGACAAGCACTGGGCGCCTTGTAGACGGTTGAGAAACCATCGTTTTTGGTTCTGCTTTTTCAATAATTCTTTATTAATTTTCATTAACAGTATAGGATGTTGGAGATTCCAGTAACATGTTATCTTATAAATACTTCGGCCTTGTTGAACTGGAGTAGTATGGAGCATTATTTTAATCCAATAAGACAATTTTCCCTGAAAGGAGAAAAAAAAGCTTGATTGGGATTTGGGGACGCTTTTTACTACCTTATTCCGGGTTTCTGAGTCTCTTTTTGGATTTTCTTTGGGCTATTGACAAAAGATTAAGAAACACTTTCCCCCCTAATGATATATGAAATTAAGAAGTCCTTTCTTATTCTTTTCTTCCTTCCGTTCATTTTTCTGTGTCTGAGAGTTGATCAACACATGAGGTCCATGACCTAGGGAGTGAAGAATTAGGAATAGCCGAATAGGATATGGGAAGCAATAGTGTTTGAACCCAACGACAATAAGCACATGTTATATTAAAATTAGAATGTTGGAATTAAAAGAGATGCAACTTACAGACAATTGGCAAGGAACTGACGTGCATCCGTCTAAACATGTACATGATATTGCTGTTAGATAAAGGAATTAATGTTCTTCAATTTTTGGATTTTCTATGTTGTTTGAATATCTGTTTATGATTGATAAATGCAAACTTATTTCTATATTATTAATGATAAGGTTGGGGAACTTAAAAAACTTGTTGAGGAAGGAAAAATAAAATACATTGGATTGTCAGAGGCCTCAGCTTCGACAATTAGAAGAGCACATGCTGTTCATCCTATAACAGCCGTGCAATTGGAGTGGTCCTTATGGTCAAGGGATGTGGAGGAAGAAATTGTTCCAGCCTGCAGGTGAGATTTAAACCATAGAAATTTTTTTATTTATAATATCTGTTATATCTCCATGTTGGAGCTCTTGACTAAACAGCGACAAGTGTTTATCTTTATGACTTCTGATTTGGTTTGTTATATTCCCAGGGAACTTGGCATTGGAATTGTTGCCTATAGTCCTCTTGGACGAGGATTCTTCTCATCAGGAACAAAGTTAATTGAGAACCTGACGCAGGATGATTTTCGGAAGGTTTGTGTTAATTCATGCTATTCCATAATTTTTCTGCACCATAATTGCTTCTTGATATAACTATTACATGTTTTAGAGTAATACTCCTGTGTATGAAAGCATTAATCTGATATTTAATTAATCCTAGTTAAGTAGTTGCCAGTTATGTGCTGCAGTAATGCAAAACAAATGGTCGTTAGCATAAAATTTGAGTCATTGGCTTATCGTCATGGGGAACTGGGTTTCGGCTTGACCACAATCTTGTGGGAGGAAAACATATATGGCTAGAGCCTTTGATCTGTACCATAATTCCTTCTTGATATACATCTACTTCATTTTTTACAGTAGCACTCCTGTGTATGAAAACCTGACTCTGATAATTAATTAATCTTAGGTAACATATTCTTGGATTCCATCTCTGCATACTGACATAATCTTTCATACCATTTTTATTGGCTAGGTTATTTGAAACGGGTTAGGGGTTTTGAAAGGCATAAATGTTTTGTTTAGTCGATAAAAGTTCTAATAAAATCAAGCTTTTACCAACTTAAAAATCAAAATCAAGCTTGCCACTTATAACCTTTTTTTAATAACTCAATTTACAATTTAGAGTTATGCATGAGTTTGGCTTTATTATACATAGCACTTACATACATGAGATCTAAAAGTCTCAAGCATTACTGAATTACGCATTGAAATGTCACTCTCAAGGCATTTAAGTGGCTAATTACTAATGAAATTTGATGCAACTGTACTGAGTCACGTGACTTAATGTTATTGCATCATAAGTGCTCCTGCCTTGAAATTAGAGTCCAGAACTTTGGAGGACAGTCAAGTTTGTATTTTTAGTGATGAACGATTTTGGCATAAATAACCTTGCATTAGTAGAATATCTTTGATTTATTCTCTATTTTATGATGCATGATGATAATATATCTGATTTTGATCAATTAATTGAAGTCTCTTGACTGAAGTATTGGTGATGATGAGGAACTTTTGGTGCCTTCACTGGAGAACACTAATAAGTAGAAACCCTAAGTTCGTCCTGGACCCTGAAATATTTTTTATGGGAAACAGTGAAAGGAAATTGTAAAATAGGAAGACTAATCTTATGAAAGGAAAGACACAGTAGCATATTGCTTAAAGTATTTGTCTTTTTATTTCATTCCACAGGATCAATGTGAGATGTTTAACAGTTTTTGCCCCCAAAAAAAAAAACATATATATTATTTTAATTTAAAATCTTAAGGTTGGATTAAGTTTATTAGCATGTGTACCACCTAGGGACAAGATATGCATATGAACTGGCTTTAATTACCTACTTATCAACTTTATATATCGGTTCATTGAACCATTGTGCAATCGTTACATCTATTATGAGATTATGGCTAGAAAAGATAAAAGTGGAAAATAAGAGTGAATAATGTAAAATGTTAAGATATTTAATAAATGTAATCTCATACGTGCTATGAGTCATGGGAATAAATAAAGAACAAGCTATAAGTCTATGACTCTCTTATGCCTTGCTTGGTGCTGCATGAAGATTTATTATTAGGTGTACCTGACACTTTGTTTCAATGTAATTTAGAGAAAAATTTATCCACATTTTTTAGGTTCATTATTGGTTGTTTGATATCTAGATATAATCTAATCGGTACATGTATTTCACCTAATTTCAGCATCTGCCTAGATTCCAGCCTGAAAACTTGGAGCACAATAAAACTATATTTGAGAGAGTTAATGAAATGGCTACTAAAAAGGGATGCACTCCATCCCAGCTAGCATTGGCCTGGGTTCACCATCAGGGAAATGATGTGTGCCCCATTCCTGGAACCACCAAAATGGAGAACTTCAATCAAAATATTGGGGCTTTGTCAATCAAGCTGACACTAGAAGAAATGGCGCAGCTGGAGTCTTTTGCTGCTGCTGATGCTGTCAAAGGTGATAGATATGGGACTGGAATAGCTACGTGGCAGGACTCTGAGACCCCCCCACTTTCTTCTTGGAAAGCTGCATAAGGCAGTGCATATGCTATGCCTCGTTAATTACTGGATGATGCAACCTTGAACAAACTGGTCTGTCTGAGGTGCACATGCCTTGCCTTGGAAAGGAGCTCGTTGTATTGATCCTCTTAGGTTGTACGGTTTTGTTTCGTTTGAAAGCTTTTTGAATGATATGACAGGTAACTATGTGTGAAAGCTGTTTGAGTGATATGACAGGTAACTGTGTATGTATGTCTAAATAAGCGGAGTCATCAGACATTGTGGAAACAGTCACTTGACTCTTATTGTAGATGTTGGAAGCATCGTCTTGGCAAATTAGCTTGGTTATGTTTTGCTTTGAGTTGCATCAGTTGATCTTTGAGCATTTGTCCAGGTTAGCATTATTTAGTTTAAATGGGAGCTGGGCAGCACCATTGACTGGATGCTAGAGCACTGGAGTTTGTGAGAAATGGCTTAGTGGTAATTATGACGCAAGCTGCTCTTGATATGTAGTTGATTTAGGTACAGGCTTCTAGGTATGGAAAGATCTTGAACTCTTGGGAACCTGTCTGGTGGATTACAGAAAAGGCCTATGAAATCGCTTTTATCAGATCACTTATTTCCAAAAACACTCCAAAAAATTGAGGCGAAGAAAATACGGGAGCGTTTTATGCAAAATGCTTTTGAAGCACTCTTGTAGGCAAAAAAGAAGCATTCCTGTAAGTCTTATTCGTAGCAGTGTAATAGTGCAGAGCGATTTGTAATTGAATTTGAAGTTTTCAATGTTGTATTTGGATGTAGGGATTTGGTTTTAGTTTTGAATTTGAGCCAAATTTACTAATTCATAAAAATTTACAGATTTGGAATAAATCCAAATCCAAATTTATATTTTATTATAATTTTTTTTTGTAATTTTAAATCTCTTATATATCCTAGTTACATTATTTAAAATGTCAGCTACTATAGCCCTGTTCTCTTCCCTTTTCATTTCCCATCTCCCTCTTTTCATTGTCTTTGAATTTAAAATTTTTTTATATCCTAAATATCAGATTTTAAATTTAAAATTCAAATCCACCAATAATGTGAGAGTCTTGAGTAATAAGTTCCAGTTGAATATTGGATGGCTATGCTTACGTTCATTCATTTCTCTCTCATAACATTGATCTCCCTCCATTTTTTATTGCAAGAAAAACTATTACATTATTCATTGTTTTTTTAAGTAAAACTACAAAATTCAAGAAACATTTATTAATTTTTTTCTAAATTGCACCTATAAAGTCAAAATTTACAAGACAAACTTATTTAATTAATTACAAGAATAATTTAATCTAATTTTTTAATTTCAAAATATAATTGTTAAACTTAACCAACTTTTTTAAACGGCATAAATTGTTTAATATTTGTTGACATTTGAAAATGGAGGGAATGTTACTTGTCATGTAAGCATTTGTTTGAGAATTCTATCATCATTTATTGCTATGGATTAAATAGAATCAACTCTAAGTAAGAAGAATATTTAAGATTATTCGTAATAGTTTTTGCCAATATAGGGACTAGTAAGTGAAGAAAAAGTAGACACTTTCAATGTGCCCATGTATTTCCCATTCATGAAGGATCTGAAGACAATACTTGAAAGTAATGAAAATTTTAGCCTCAAAAAAATCGTCATATTGAATCTTATTAATTATGCCAAACATGGAAATGTAAGTTTCCATAGAGTGGGCTGTGTGCTAGAAGTTTTGACTGAGAAACATTTTAGCGATGGAATTGTTGATAAGCTTTTTGATGTTTTACAAAGACAATTATGGAATTCTAAGAAATAATCATTAGAGTAATTATAAGAAATAATCATTACAAAGACAATTATGGAATTCTAAGAAATAATCATTAAGAGAAAGGTGCATGCATGAATAGAAGTTCACAAATTTCATGAATAGATCATAAGTTCACATATTTCATCTTGTGTAAGAAAATGCATTGGCTAAACTCTAATTCTCTCAATGGGAACAATAAATTTAGGAAGCATTTGGATTGATAGATTTATATTTGAAATTCAGGTTTAAAATTTTGAATTTCAAATCTCACATTTGAAATTCATGTATTTAATTAAAATTTGTTACCATGAACAATAGAATACAGATAGCTGCCATATATATTAATAAAAAAGTATAATTATTTATATAGGAAAAAATGGACTATGAAATTAAAAAAAAAACAGAGAACAAAATATAATTTAAGATATTATATAGCTAAAAAATAAACTAATTTGAGAGTTAATTTATTCTCATTTACCTACATACACATAATTTGGTTGAAAAAGAATCTACATTTACGTATTAGGTCATCAATGTATTTTATATATTAGAGCATTTTGAGAGTCAATTTGTACTTTAAAACTTGAAGGACTCACATGATAATTTAATAAAAGTATAAGAGATTAAATCGATAATTGATATAAACTTAAAACAACTGAAAATTTTGTTATCCTTTTATTTTTACAACAAATAAAATAAATTGTAACTCCTCCTTTGATATCACAATGTTTAATATCTTTTTAATTATTGGAACAAGCCAGGCTTTAAAGGGAGCTTGAAGAGACTACAAATCCATTGCAGTGATCTCCATTACGTTCATCGTATTGATGCTCGCCCTGCCATTGAACTCAAGGGTTGTTTTTCTTTGCTTTCCATCTTCTTCTCTTCCTCGTATAATAGAGTAAAATATTACAGTTTAATTACCATGTACCATTTGATAGTTTATTGTTATTAATATAAACTAATGGATATTTATTTGGCCAAAATAAATATAAGATAATGGAAATTCTAATATTGTTTTACCCCATCTTAATTTAAAATCTCAAAATAAATATATGTATTATTAAGCTTAATTTTATATGACATGAAATTTTTTCACATCAATTAAAGTTCATGCTTAACCATTGTAGCAAGAATTTATTCAATTTTAAAAATATTATTGTCTAATTCCAATATTATAACATCTTGAATTTAAATCTCGAAAAACTAGTTGCTAATCAGGGATAAATTAATAATTAGTGGTTTGATTATGGTTTGGATGGTGGGTTGATATTTTGTTTTGTTTGGATGTTGTATTGATAGAATTGAAGGGTAGAACAACAATTTAGGACATAACACATGAGCACAAGAGAGAGTTTTCTCATTATGCTATATGGAAGTTGTGTGCGCTACAGCGCATGGTGCATAATTTTTACTTAAAAACTAAGTTAGATCGTAAAAATAGAAAGAGAAGGAGGGGAAACGTGTTTGGAGAGGAGAAGAGGTTCATGTCTGCTACGGCATTGATTATTTGGTGATTGGGAGTCGGCTTCAGTTAGTGACTTGTTAGATAAGTAACGTGCAACCTTAAGCTTCATTTCTATCCTTTTTCATTTAATTTCATCAGTTGAGAAATCCAATTAAGGAGTTTTAAGGTGTTGTAATATAAAAGAAAGGTTTGAAATAAGCTATCAAATATGGAACTATCGTTTTGTGACTAGTATGAAGTTGAATGGTTAAGTTTTGATGATTTAGGCTCATTTAGCCTAAGAAAGTTAGGTTAAAATGGCAAAATTAGTTGAATAAATGAGTTAGGAAGTTGTTATGATTATTTGGATAGCCTATAGGGCTAATAACTATAGATAGTGGATGCATGAATTCAAAAAGGGTTCTAATTGAATCATTTTGTGTATTAAGAGATTCAGTTTAATCGAATCAATGCCTATATTAAGTGTTAAGAATTGACTAAGGGAGACTGTATTGTGTAAATTAAGCACTTGTGACATTGCTCATGGGAATCTACATGCTTGGGAATCCATAGTGATTGGTAACCTTTAGTAACAAGGGATAAAGGTAACTGGAGTAACCCTTTTACTTGTTGTTTGTGAAATTATTTACAAGTATTTTTATATAATTATGTGCATTGTGTTATGAACTAATAGAGTAGTAGTATTATGAAAGAATATGCATGCGGGTGTGTGAGTATTAATTGAAATGAATTTGAGGTGCCATGTGCATTGACATGCATCGCATTCGTGAAGCATACCCTAAATTATGGTAGGAGGATGTGGCCCTACCATGAGGAGGTTTAGGAAGTCCTGATGATCCAAAGCATAGAGTTTGACTCTGCCACGACGGACATAGGACATAGAATGATCCACGAGGTTACCTTAGACTAGGGTAGGGGTCGTGGTTTTACTCCATATAAGGTTAGGAAGTCCTAATGATTCAAAGTGTAGAGTTTAACTCTGCCATGATGGACCTAGGAGATCACCCAAACGCGAAAAGGATTACCTGGTCTAAGCAGTGGTATGGTAGGCCCTGTTCCATGTAACTGAAAGTCTTAGTTTGAGCATAGAGGTTACTCCGCTAGGTGAAACCAGGAATGCATGGGCATGAGCATAATGAGATTGATCAGAATGAGTTCTTGTATATGCATATGATATTGCTTTGATTAAAATACATGTTATTTTATCTCTTGTTTATGATTTTACTTACTAACTGATAATTGGGGTTATCTACGAGTTACTAAGACGTACATCTCACTCTGTCACTTTTAAACACAGGTGAAGAGAGCACAAGAAGGCTGGGAAAGGAAGCAAAAAAAGACTAGCTTCATTTGATAGTAGTATGACTACCATTGAGTAAATTGAATGTATAGTATGTTGTTAAAATTTGAGTTGCCAACTAAGATGTATAAGTGAATATGTATATGAATTGTGTTATGAAAACCTTGCTTGTATGTGTATATGATGTTGTATCTCACCGAAGGTGCCCTAATAAAAGGATACGTGAATAGGCCTAGATACTAATCAAGAAAATGTATATCATTATGTAACTTGTTCCACTTATATATATATGTGTGTTGAATGTGAATTGATTATGAATTATGTATATATGTGAGAACTTGATACAAATGGTGAGGCAGAGCCCTATTTAAAAAAGTTGAGTATATTGTGATTTTTAATCATATGGTGAGATGAAACCCCATATGTAAGAGTTGAAGGGTTCAAAGTAAAACAAGTCTAGTTGTGTATATATGTTTATGTGTATTTTCTTATTTAAGTCCATAAGTGTGTAATGTGGTATTGAGAGGTCAATTTAAGTAAATAATGTGATATATGTAGTTAGTAGTGTCAAGCTGGTGTATGTGATCCTTTTGGACTTGGTTTAAAGCCCGAAGTGGTCTAATGGGATAAGGAATGAGAATTGAGCGCCTAGAGTGTAAGTTTTTGAAAAAAAATGACTTTTTGTACTCGAGCATCTAATTTTAGATCACTCCATTAGATCGAGTTCAAACTTATTCTATTGGCTAGTATATGTTGTAAGATTCATGTGAAT